GATGCAGGCCTAGAAAAATCATTCTGAGCAAAAGCAGTCAATACCGCCTGTTATTTGGTGAATCGAGCTCCATCAACTGCAATAGAGCTGAAGACACCAATGGATATGTGGACTGGAAAACCAGCTGATTATTCAAACCTCCATATATTTGGAAGTATAGTGTACGTGATGTACAACTCCCAAGAAATTTCAAAGTTAGATCCAAAATCCAGGAAATGCAAATTCTTGGGGTATGCTGATGGAGTAAAGGGGTATCGCTTGTGATCCCACTGCCCGCAAAGTGATCATTAGTAGAGATGTTATCTTTGTAGAAGATAAACTACAAAAAAAAAGAAGACGATGATAGTGCTGAAAAGTCAGAGACTACTCAGATACATGTGGAAAAAGAGTTTGAAGAAGGAGATTCTTCTGAAGCAGAACCAGCACATGATGAACAAGAGCCAGAGAGTTTTGAAGCTCCAACAACTCGTCAATCAGATCGTGTGAGAAGACGTCCCAATTGTCACTCAGATTATGTTATAGAAGGTAATATTGCATACTACCTTTTAACAGAGGACAGTGAGCCATCAACATACCAGGAGGCAATAAACAGCTCAGATGCTTCACTGTGGATGATGGCGATGCAAGAAGAAATCGAAGCCCTTCATAAAAATAATACATGGGACCTTGTGCCACTACCATAAGGAAGGAAGCCAATTGGTAACAAATGGGTCTTCAAAATCAAGCGAAATGGTGATGATCAAGTTGAGAGGTATCGTGCAAGACTGGTGGTCAAAGGATATGCTCAAAAAGAAGGTATTGATTTCAATGAAATATTTTCTCCTGTGGTTCGACTAACAACAGTTCGAGTAGTTTTGGCAATGTATGTTACATTGAACTTACATCTAGAACAGCTAGATGTTAAAACAGCTTTTCTTCATGGAAATCTTGAAGAAGAGATTTACATGCTCCAGCCTGAAGGTTTTGAAGAAAAAGAAAAGAAGAACTTGGTTTGCAGGTTGAACAAATCTCTGTACGGTCTAAAGCAAGTGCCGAGGTATTGGTATAAGAGATTTGATTCCTTCATTATGTGCCTTGGATACAACAGACTTAATGCAGACCCTTGTGCTTATTTTAAGAGGTCTGGTGATAACGATTTTGTTATATTGCTGTTGTATGTGGATGACATGTTGGTTGCAGGACCCAACAAAGATTATATTGAAGAATTGAATGCACAACTGGCTAGGGAATTTGAAATGAAGGACTTGGGATCAGCAAACAAGATTCTAGGGATGCAAATTCACCGAGACAGAAGTAATAGGAAGATTTGGCTTTCACAAAAGAATTTCTTGAAGAAGATCTTGTCACGATTCAACATGCAAGATTGTAAGCCAATTTCTACCCCTCTTCCTATTAACTTCAAATTATCCTCCAGTATGAGTCCTAGCAGTGAAGAAGAGAGGATGGAGATGTCTCGAGTACCGTATGCATCAGTAGTGGGAAGTTTAATGTTCGTTATGATATGCACAAGACCAGACATTGCACAAGCAATGGGAGTGGTTAGTTGGTACATGGCGAATCCAGGCAAAGAGCATTGGAATATTGTAAAGAGGATCCTCCGATACATCAAAGGGACCTCAAATGTTGCATTATGTTACGGAGGATCAAACTTACTAATCAATGGTTATGTAGATTCTGACTATGCAGGGGATTTGGATAAAAGCAAATCTACTACAGGATATGTGTTCAAAATTGCTGGCGGAGCTGTAAGCTGGGTTTCAAAATTGCAGTCAGTTGTGGCTACGTCCACAATAGAGGCAGAATATGTAGCAGCTACACAAGCCAGTAAAGAAGCAATTTGGTTGAAGATGTTATTGGAGGAGCTTGGGCACAATCAAGAGTATGTCTCTCTGTTTTGTGACAGTCAAAGCGCCTTGCATCTAGCAAGGAATCCAGCATTTCATTCAAGGACAAAGCACATACGAGTTCAATACCATTTCATTCGTGAAAAGGTAGAAGAATGAATGGTAGATATGCAGAAGATCCATACCAAAGACAACATAGCATATTTCATGACGAAGGCAATCAATGCTGATAAATTTACCTGGTGTCGATCCTCTTGTGGTCTGTCAGAAACGTAAGCAACATGAAGGTACAAGGTAGAAAGAATGGTGTGAAGATATGATTATTCCAATCAAATCTTCAAGTGGGAGATTGTTAAAAGTCAAATAATTTAGGCACCAAATTAGGCACCAAATGGTGCTTTGTCAAAGTCAAAAATTAGGCACCTAATTTTTATTGAAATTGGGTAATGGGATAATTAATTTTAGTCATTGTAATTTAGGGTATTTATAAGATTAGTCCTTAAGTTTCAACTATAAATACCCTAGCTCATTTAGCTTCAAAATCATCCCAAAGCATTATAGCTTTCTTCCAATACTAGAAAGATTTTAGAGAGTTTCTTGAGAGTTGTTTTCTCCTTTTTATCTAGAGAGAATTATCATTGTTTTCTCCTTGGTAGATCGAGAGAGGTTGTAATTCATATTTTCTCATAGTGAAATTCTTCTACTGTTGCCCGTGGTTTTTACCCTAAATTTTTAGGGATTTTCCAAGTAAATTTTGTGTCTCTTTTATCTTCATTTTTATTTTCTCAAATTATCAGTTGCGATTTTGTTCTATCCGATAGTCGTCTTCCGCAACACAAATAAACAACACTACTTTGTAACTTTTAAATAGTTAAGAGAGTTAATAAAGTAATATCCTATAGTCAGTGAATCATTTGTATGCTTCCCCTTTTATTAAATAACGCAGTTGTGTTTATACCAGTAAATCAAGAAAATGAAAAAGGGAGATATATAATGTTCAAAAAGCGGTGGAAATCAAAGATGATGGTGGAACATTTAAAATAAGATTTAACAACAATTTTAAAAGAGTTAAAAAGTGACTTAAACAAAATAATAAATTATCATGATAAGATTGTACAAAATATATTAATTTTATGAGAATGTTACGTTATCTATTCGTCTTAAGAGTATGAAGTAATAATGTTACTCTTATGGGTTATGAGAAAATAAACTAGATGAGTTTATTTAAATTTTGTAAAAATTCCTAGAACATAAATACGTTTGTTTTAAAATAAAATTTAATAACAATTTTAAAAGAGCTAAAAGGAGAAATAAATAAAATCACTTTTTAAAAATATAATTTTATGAAAACATTATTTTTTAATAATAATTATTATTACTCTATTATTGTTTCATCTCAAGTAATTGTTTTCTTTATAAACAAAATTACAAATGCTTAATTTATACGTCTTTTGGGTAAATTACGCATCTACAATATGAATTATTAGTTTTGTTCCGTTTTAATACCTAAAATTTTAATTGTTTCAAAATCATAACGTTTAGTTTTTTTGTTTCATTTTAATATCAAGCTGTTGAAATTTAATGGAACTTTTACACTTTTATGGGTAGATTACATTATTCATTACTTAATTATCTTCTCAATCCTATTTTGGTCATTAAAGTTTACAAATTTTCAATTTAACTAGTTAGCTTTCAAATTGTTCATGTTTTAATCACTCTAATTTATTTAATAATAATATTTTATGACATGATATTTTTATTATTTTATTAATATATAAAATAAATAAAAAATAAATTTATAAGTTAGAGTGATTAGATTAAGATTAATTTGAAAGTTAAGTAAATAAATTAAAAAAGTAAACTCCAATGACCAAAATAGGAGTGAAAAGATAGTTGAGTAACGAATGATGTAATTTACCCATAAAATTTGCCAATAACAGCTCGGCTAAATTTCCAACTCCCGATAAGAAAATAAAACCGAAACTAAACGTTAGATATAATTTGAAAATTTTGAAATTTTTTAAAAATTTAACTATTAAAACAGACTAAAATTAATAATTTAAATATTAAAAATAAATACTTAACATGTAATTTATCTATATTTTTTATGATATAGAAGCAAGAGAATATTGAATGCAGACGAAATTTCCATTGACTATGACAAATCCTTAAGAGGGTATTTCCTTTCATGTTCGGACTGACTGATGTTGTTCATTAATTTTCGTGGAAGTAGTGTAAGTCGGTCCACTTGCCGCGTGAGTCCCTCTTTTTTTTTCTCGGCTAAGTCCATTTATACCCTCAATAATTAATTTATGTTTTTTTTATAAAAAATACAAAACAATTACATCTTCTGAATTTAATCCTCCACATATGTTCGGATGACAGTTATAATAATTAATTACTTACCATTTTTTTAAGGTTTAATTGAAAACAGTATTTAATCTTTTTTATTTTAGATATTTAATATTTTTTATAAATTAAATATTTAACATTTTATTCTATTATTATTTTAAAATTAACCGTGAATATTGTTTGAACATAGTTAACTAATAAATACATAATTTATGATTTTGACGGTACTTATGGGAAGAGCTAAACGATTCACGATGCCACATAAATTATGGGAAAATGTTAAAGACTCTTAATTTTTTAAATTAAAGATTATAAGGGTTAATTTTTTAAATAGAAAATTTTAAGAAAATAAAAATCGATTAAAATTCATGGCATGTCTTAAATATTTATGGAAGACTAATTTTTTTAACAGTCATAAACAATTTGAATTTAATAACTAAATAAAACGTTAGAGATAAATTTTAATAAAAACATTAAACACTTAAATAGAAAAAATATAATTTACATATTCATTTGATAAAATAACAAACATTAATCTATATAAAAATTGAAACAAGTAATTGAATATTTCAATCATATTTAATCTAGTTAAATTCGTTAATTACAATTACCTAAATATACTAGTTATATTATATATAATTATATGAATATATAACTAATTACAAAAATTAATATAATTTAAAGCAGTCGTTTTCTAAGGTCAATTATGTAAATTTAGCCAAATTTACGGAATCCATAGTATTTTTCTTTTCTTATTAATTTATTGTCAACTATTCTCTAATATATGAAAATCTGAATGCTAAAAAATGTGAAAATTTTCTTTCAAGAATCAACACAACAATTTTGTTGGTTTTCATTAACTCCCGCAGCTGATTGCTCAGTCGCAGCTCAGTTACTGTCCCACTCAGAGTCGTACACCGTGTTCCGCATGTTCTCAGTCTCAACTCAGTGAGTCACCTTGTCAAAGTCCTCGCCCCACGACTCCGAAGAGACCAACCTGTTTTCTGTTCTCTTCCAAATGCAAAACTCCTATAACCACCGGAGGGTACGCCAAGGCCCACCGCTGAAGATCGTTCCCTTACCGGGCCAGGTGTCATTTCGTGTTATCTGCCACGCATCATCCATCGGCGGGGTCATCGGGAGCTCCGGCGCCGTTGTTTCTCAACTTCGCCGCGAGACTAACTCTCGAATCCACTGCGAAGAAGCTGTCCACGGGTCGGATCACCGGGTTATACTGATAGTCGGGTCTGGATCGGTTGATAGACGGTTTAGTTTGGGTGAGGGAGAAGTGTGTGATGTTTCGTGTGCTCAGGAAGCAATGATCAGGGTCTTCGAGCGCATGTGGGAAGTGGAAGCGGAGAGAGAGCGGGGAAACGCGTGCGTTGGGAAGGAAGAAGAAGCTTACTGTGGTGTACTCGCTGATACGGCACAAATTGGTCTTGTTGTGGGGAAAGGAGGGAAGAATATTGTGAGAATGAGGACGGAGAGTGGAGCTAAAATTAGGATTTTGCCAGCGCCGCCATGCGGAAGAACAAGTGATCAGTTAATTCAGGTAAGGGGTTGTTTTCTCAAGAAAGTGAAAGAAAATCAAGTATTGAAACAATATACCGCGTGCAGTTTTCTTTTTGTGTAGCTTGAACTAAATTAATGGCGGAATCTTCTTTAATGGTCCTGATATTGTCTGAATCTGAAATGTTTGTGCTTAATTGTGTTAGTACTTCCTGCAAATGAATGATAAATACATGAATCAAATTGGCAAATTGGTGGAGAAAGACTATCATTACGAATTATGTCTGGACGTGATTAATATCACTATAAGTTGTTTGATTATTTTTAATGATATGGCAGATAACTGGTTGTAGTTTGGCGGTCAAGAAAGCATTGGTTGCTGTATCTGGCTATCTTCAAGCTTGCACATCTATGGACAGAGAGCCAACACCCATGAGTATACCGACTGAGCAACCTTCACGTGGGACCTCCCCTGATTCACACGAAGAACTTTTTCCGCACCTTAGTTCACTTTTGCCACCTATGCTTGCAAATGCCTTCAGTGGTGTTTCATATGTGAACTTTTCATCTGTGGTTGCTAATGGAGATTCCAAACTGGCATCAAATGATAATACACAAAAAGTTGTGTTTAAAATGCTTTGTTCCAATGTTGCTGCTGGGGCCATCATTGGTAAGAAGGGTGCCATAGTCAGAGCTTTGCAAAATCAAACAGGTGCTTCTATAATGTTTGAGTCCCCAGAAATTGAGTATCGTGAGCGTGTTGTCTCAATTTCTGCATTGGAGGTTAGTCCCAAAGCTGATTGCAGAGGTTTTCCTAATTCCGGTAGTTTTTTAACGACAGCATTACTTGTGCATATCTTCTTTCTGAAAATGGCTTTTGTTTACTGTAGAACCTTGAATCACAGTATTCTCCTGCACAGAATGGTCTTGTTCTTGTATTTGCAAGATCTGTTGAATCTAATATTGAAAAAGGATTTCCATCTGGAATGACCGAGGGCATTGCTGTAACTCTTAGACTTCTAGTTGCTTCTGATCTTGTTAGCTGCTTGAAGGAGAAAGAAGGTAGGGTACTTTCTGAGATCGTAGAATCCACTGGTGCTGATGTGCAAATCTTGGATGAGGAGCTCTCACTGTGCCATTCTCTAGAGAATGTAGTACAGGTGCAAATCTTAACTTCTTTTAGCAATACTGCTTCTTAAGTTTGTCCATATGCAGGAAGGATCAATTGAGTTCCCATTATTTTTCGGGTCAAACAGCTGTAAATGCTTACACAATGTGATTCAATTTTATTGATGATGCAAAATATGTTAGGAGTACATTATTTTAGTATAATTAGCACTTTCATTTAGAAACATGATTTTCAAATAATAAGAAGAATCTTTCTTAGCTCCATGGGAGCAATTTCCCCCTTTTGGCATGCAATACAAGTTCTCACTCCTTCCATCTTTTTGGTGAAATATCAATAGATTAACTTTCAGATGTAGTGACGGTTCCTTGCTGCCAGGGCTTTTTCAGCCTCTTGTATAATTTTCAGTTTCTGGTTACTACAATTAGTGAACTTTTGGTGCCACTTTGATAATCAATTTCATCTTGAAGGAGTGATCATTGATGTATTACTTTTATCCTTGCAGATTACTGGTGACTATAAAAGTGTGCAGAACGCCATCTTTCAAGTTACTAGTATACTAAGGGATAATCTCTTGCGACCTGAAGTACTGAACGAAATTAGTGGGGGGACTTGCCATGGAGAAGTAAGGGAGACTGTTCCATCTCAAGTAATCCAACAGACAAGGTCAACATTAGATAATGATCATGAACAAAATTTAGCTCAAATAATGCACCCGGGGAACTCGGAAAATACTTATGGTCCACTGCCGGTAAAACTAATGCCCCAACAGGTAAAAGCTCTTTCCCTTTTGTTTCCCTCTTGAAATATTGCTTTCACTAAGATTATTGGAATATGTACAAGGACCTCAATGCTTGGGTAGGTTTGTTTGCAGACTGCAGGAAATGGGCATACAGTTGATATGGATGATATTCAGCATGGCTCAACCACATTTGGAGGGAGTTTTGACATTGAGAGCTCATTGGATTTTCTACTTCCATGTGATATGCTCAATGAAGTGGGAGGCAGGAGCCCCTACAACAGAGGGAGTGAGACTAATTTTTCTGGTTCGCTTCAATCATTGGATGTGTCTCTTGTTTCTGATCAAGAGAGTGCTTTAACAAGAGCAATGAATAATATTGAACTCTTTGATGGTGTAGACTGTCCACCAGAATCTCAGCTATTAGAGGTGAAAGGTTTTATTTGTTCTTTTGCAGTTTTCTTTGTTGCTTCGGCTACCTAAGTAATCAAAGGAAATTAGTTCTGTCCGAGGACCTAAAGTGTTTTTGGGCTGGCTGCGATTTCAGACTGTGAAAAGAAGACACGAGCTGGACAATGTGGATGGTAAAGCGGGTCTAGAACTCGAAAGGTTAGCATTATACAAAAATAGCATTACAGCTGTTTCCCCCCCTCCTTTGCTTTTAAATCAAGCAAGGAAAGTGTTTTACTTATATATCTTTATGGTTATGGAATCGAAATATGTACGCTATGTTGGTTTTATGATAGCTGCTGCCATGAGTAAAGTAGTAGGCCATTGCTTCCTACCTTTCGTTGTTGGTGGATTCATCACATACTTTGGTTTTCAGGAATTAATTCATTTCACATGTCATTATCCTCCCCATCTAAGGGGCATTTTGATTTGAGACTAATAAATAATGCTTCTTGCTAATCTGTGGTTTGTGGGTAGGTTATGATACCATCTGACTTATTCTCTTCCATTGAATGATCGAGTAGTACAACCACATTTGTTACTAATATAATTATTCTAGAAATTAATCTGATTTTGAGTTTCTCAATTTGCAGTGGTAAAAAATCAATTATTGTGAAAAATACAAGTGTAGAAATTGTAGTTCATGAAGATGCTTTTGGCTCTATCTACGGCAAAAATGGCTGCAACCTTGTTCGTCTCAAAGAGGTAATCATCAATTACACTTGGGAAAAAAACTGACCTCTGAGCATTCTGTATTTGTAGTCCGACCATTTCCTGAACCATGTACAAATTTTTTCTTATAAATCTATGTATGTCACTGCAAAATCAGATCTCAGGTGCAAAAGTTGAAGTTAATGATCCTCGCCCTGGTGAAACTGAGGGGACCGTGTTGATATCTGGGACTCCAGATCAAACGCTTGTAGCACAAAGCTTGCTTCAAGCTTTCATCCAGTCCAACCAGTTATCAACATAACTAGGTTGCTTGCTAGAATCAATGTTAATCAATCTCTCCAGGCCGAGGAAGAACCACTTATCACACGGGTATCATAGTTCCCTGTAGAAAAATACTAGAGTATAAGAGGGAATGTTGATATGAAATCGGTAATCAACATAACAACTTGACAATATTTTAAAACAAATGTACTGGGAAATCAAGGAAGAACTCATCTTATTTTCGTTTGAATATGTAAGTTGAATTTGAATATTTGAATTAAATGCTAAACTGTAAAACCCCAGGGTTATGTGTTAGTGTTTGTTTTTGTATTCTTTGTTAAAAAGAAGTCATATATTTGAAGGATTAGGTATTGAAACTCTGCAATGCCTCTAACTCCATGTGAAAAAATTTGCAGGCAAGCGATAATTATTCACATATCAAAGCTGAGAATCTGCTTAAATTAATACACTTGTCAATTGCTAATACATATGCTACAGGAAACTTTTGGATACTTTCAGTGCAAGTTCTCGGTCCCCATCTGCCCAACCTGGTAGACATTTAAACAAGAACATGAAACAGAGTAAAATAACAAATAGTTGCCTTTTGTTTTCCATTTTATTGTGGGTGGTTAGGGGATTATACATCTTCATCTACATCAACGCTTATTTATTTTATGTTATCTTCATACTGTTGTACTTTCACTATCATTTGCACATGTATACATCTTTCAAAATTATACTTGGTATATTTTTAACCAAGCTTTGAAAGCATATTCCCTATCTGACATTGTTTGAACCATAGGTGAGTTCTCCCATCATATTCAATGTGATGGATAACTTGTCGTCGAGTTTTGTTTGTTGATTAATCCCCGGTGCTAGATTCCAAAGTTCTATTTGTGCTTGAACTGCAAGGCTTCTCTTGGCCTTCCAAGCATAGATAGGACGGTTGCAGATATATGCCGTGAAGAAAGCCCTGCTTCTTCTATCTGATCTTGGTGTGATCCATGATCAATGTATTTATCAGGAAGCACCATTGCCCTAAACTGCAAACACCTCTAAAACTAATTATATATGAGATAAAAAATAGATATTTAGAAAAGAAAAACGGAAATGTATATATATATATACCTTGACAGATCCATCCAAAATGCCATTTAAGCTCAAGAAATGTGATACATGAGAGCCAAAGCCACCAATAGAACCCTCTTCCACTGTAATAAGAATCTCATGCTCATTTGCTAGTTGCTTTATGAGATCTGTGTCTAGAGGCTTGCAAAATCTCGCATCAGCCACTGTTATATATATGTTTCGAGATCTCAGCATGTTTGCTGCTTCAACGCATTGTTGAACGATCGAACCGTATCCTAGAATGGCTACTCTATTGCCTTCCATTATGATTCTTCCTTTTCCGATCTGCTCAACCATTGGAGAAGTGAACGTTTAATCAGTTCATTTACTTTGATTCTAATTTGTTCGGATATCTAATATTGATTAGACTAACCTCGAGTGGTGTTCCTTTGTAATCATGAGGGATGACTACACCGGCACCATTTCCCCTGGGGAACCTGAAGCAGCTAGGCCTGTCATCGATGGCTGCTGCTGTTGCAACCATATGCATAAGCTCGGCCTCATCGGATGGGGCCATTACCACCATGTTAGGCAAGCAAGCCATGTATGTGATATCAAATGCCCCACAGTGTGTCGGTCCATCTGCTCCGACCAAACCAGCTCGATCCATTGCGAATCGTACAGGTAATTTCTGTAGATCCACATCATGCACCACCTGCCATAGGAGTAATTTTTTTCCAACCAAAATGTCAATCAGGGAAAAGGTGAAGGGAATCTGATCTTATCCAATTCAGTATGCCCATTTTTTGAGAGCACACCTGATCATATCCTCGTTGCAAGAACGATGAGTAGATAGCACAAAATGGCTTGAGACCCTCTGTGGCCAAACCGGCTGCAAAAGTAACAGCATGTTGCTCGGCAATCCCCACATCGAAGCAGCGGTCCGTGAACCTTTTTTGGAAGTAATTGAGACCTGTTCCTCCACCCATTGCAGCATGGATGGCTACAATCTTGTCGTCGGCTTCAGCTTCTTTGATGAGCGATTCAGCGAAGTACTGCGTATACGACAGCGTAGATGATTTGGACTTAAACTGCTTACCTGTTTCTGTGTCAAAACTTACAACACCTGGGAGCAGATGGAACAACAATGATCATTTTGACAAATTCGTAATATCACAATGGATCAAGAGTTGCGATCTTATTCTTACCATGCATTTTGTCAGTTGCTGCCTCAGCCGGGGGATATCCCTTTCCTTTCTCCGTTATGATGTGGATTAGGACCGGCCCTGGGGCAGGCATGGCTTTCACTTTCTTAAACATAGCTACTAAATCTTCAATATTGTGTCCATCAACCGGACCGATGTAATACAACCCTAGTTCCTCAAAGAGAGTGGAGCCAGAAGCACTTATCATTCCTCTTGCATACTCATCTACCTTTGCTGCAATTTCATGTGCTTGACCACCAATTTGCTTAGTAATGCCCTTCAACAACGAGCAGTATCAATAGTCAGATTTCAGCAAATACAAAATGACCGGAATTATAAGACAAATGATAACAAAGCATAGAGAACTTACTTTCGCCTTTTCCCGAAGTTTTCGGAACTCAGAGCTTGCTTGAATCTTGGTTAAAGTCCTACTAAGAGCTCCAACAGGAGTTGCAGGACCTTGTAGAGTTGCAGTGGGTAGCGATACTTGTTTATTGTCGTTCAGCACAACAATCACGTTTGAATCGAGGAACCCTGCATTATTCATGGCCTCATATGCAAGTCCAGCTGTCATTGCTCCATCTCCAATCACAGAAATCACGTTGTTGTTCTTCTTCAAAAGGTCTCTTGCCACTGCCATGCCTACATTAACAGTAAGAAACTCAAAAGTCAGAATTATATGCCTCATGCATCATTACATTTCATATAATTTTTGTTTTTTTACAGTGAGAAGCAAATACCAAGTCCAGCGGATATGCTGGTAGAACTATGTCCAACACCAAAGGCATCATAAACACTCTCATCCCTCTTAGGGAACCCTGCAAGTCCTGAAGTTTTTCTTATGGTGTGCATCCTCGACCTTCTTCCTGTCAGAATTTTATGAGGGTATGCCTGAAAATTATGAAAGATGCTGTTTATATATAAACTCCCAAATGAAAAGAAACAAAAGCAAATCGGCTCTCTCGATTCTATCACCTGATGCCCGACATCCCATATAATTTTATCTTCAGGAGTATCGAATACATGGTGTAAGGCTATTGTCAACTCCACTACTCCCAAGCTCGAACTAAGATGCCCTCCGATCTTCGATACCGTGTGCACAATATCAGCTCTAATCTCTGCCGCCAGTTGCTCAAGTTCCTAAACACAATACATACATATATGTAAGACAAAACTGCGAACCAGAGCACAAATCAGGACGGTGGAGTTTCTTAGTTTTACCCTTGTTGATAAATTCTTCATATGAAGAGGGTAATTGATGGTGTCCAACAATGGCGTCGCTGGTTTTCTACCGGAGAAATTGATCTTCCAGCCGTCGTTTTCTTTCCTCATACTCATTTTACATCCCTCGTCGTCTTCCCTGTTTCCACCGGAAGCTTTCGGATTGAACTGGAGAAAAACACACATACAAAATAAAAAAGTAAAACCACCATTTCAGACATGAAACCACGAACCAAAAAATGAAACCATGACCCATGGCTAAACCAGAAACATTTAAACATAAAAAATGAAGAGACACTGACAGCAGAATATGTGAAGTGTATGTATCATATCATGTAAAGAGAAGCTACTAACATGTTTTTTGCAACAAAGGTTTGGCCTTTTAGATATGAGAAATGGAAAAGGGGATTGGTTTGGTCGAACCAAAGAGCAGGAAACCGCCATTTTCTTTTTATTATTTTTGTGTGAAAACAGATTGATAGAAATGAGAATGGTGAAAGCTTAATATAGAGGAGCCTGGAATCAAGTTATGTAGTGTTTGTGCGCGCGTGAGAGAGAGAGAGAGAGAGAGAGAGAGAGAGAGAGAGAGAGAGAGAGAGAGAGAGAGAGAGAGAGAGAGAGAGAGAGAGAGGGTAAATGCATTACGTGTCATGACTGTCCAGATAGCTAATTATTTATAACCACTCCCATTCTAAATCATTATTGTTTATTTATTTTGGTAACTGCCTTAATTGTCACCAAATTATTATTGTTTTTCTAGTTTGGTCCGCAAACGCTTTTGGTAAGACCGTCCTTAATATTAGATTTTTTTCCATCTTAGTGAGCAGCAGCAGTAGTTAAATGTAAGAGATGCTAATATTATCTGATACAATAATAGTTTTATTCTTAATATTTATATATTCTTTCAATTTAATCTTAATTTAAAATAATTAATAATTTAGACTTAAAAAAATTACATCTAAATAGTTTTCTCTCGTTTGTGTACCACTCATATTTTTTTTTATCTTTGTTGATCGGAGACAACATCAATTTTAATGTTGGTTGCCAATCGTTAATATTCTTTATTTCTTTTTATTTTCTATATCTTTATTTTATTTTATTTTATTTTATTTTTAATTAGTCTGCCTGTGTTTTTATGTTTTCATCTGCTTTTATGACATGTTTTTTTTTATACTTTTTGGCATTTTTTCGATCTTTGACTGTTTTTATTTATCTTTTTTCTAAGGGTTGATTTGGCATCGCCAAGAATTGATCAATATGTCACTTATATGATATCTTGTGATATTTCTTGCTTTGTACCCTCAGATTGGATTTGGATACCCGATTTTCATTCGTAGATAGCTTTTCACGTCGCTCGAGTCTGACTTGCGGTTTGTCAATGGTCTTTCAATAGTTTGATCTCCTTTTGTGGTTCGTTTACCAATTCGATCAGATCTATTTGTATCTATCTTTGTTCGAGTTTTTTTGGCTAGATTTAATTTTTCTCTGTATGGTCCTTATGTGATCTTAAGTTACTAGATTTGTTTCAATGATTATAGGAATTTTTTCTAATTATGTGCTTATTTTACAATTGTGATTATAAATCTTTATTGTAATTTTAGATATTTCATATTTTGAATAAAATTAGTTATTTATAACTTTATATAAAAAATAATAATATTTTAATATTTAAACACTTAATCAAATGATCATCCAATTATAAAATGAGATTGAAAGAGGTCAAACTTAATACCAATGGGATGAATTACACT